ATATGTATATTTTAATTAAAATTGAGTAATAAAACTATGAAACGATAATTTTAAAATAATAATTAGAAGATATAAATTTAACTTTTGATTAATATTCGAGGGTGCCGTCCAAATGTAAAAAAAAAAACAAAAAAAAAAAACGATTAAAGAAGGAAAATAAATTTGTTTTTTAATGTAAAATCGTAGAGAAAAATGAAATGTAAATCTTTTTTGACGTAATATTTGATAAAAATCTATATCCAATTATTATTCAAAATTAAATTCCAGTCCCAGTAAACCCTATGCCTGATTTTTAAATTTGAATATGATTTTTCCACCCAGTAAACATTTTTAATAAATTGTAACGGTTTGATTACGAAATGAATAACTATAATTAATCTCAGCACTGTTAAAACATGGCCATAAAACCTCACTTATCGCAAATTTCGCACCATCGTAAATTCAGAAGAGTAAAAGTACGGGGTACAAAAAACGACTCACCTCCGGGCCCGTCATCCCGTCGTCGCCCCGGTCAGGACGTGACTTTGAAAAAAGACCCAGAGCTTACAATGAATGATCATCTAGAATGGCGAGCAGAGGAGACGAAAGAAGACAACACCAGAGGGGCCGTCGTTCACCCTCGGTGACAATAATAAACGCGCCGAATCGACGATTATACGCAATTGATCACACGCACGTATAGAGTGCGAGTATCTGGTTCTGCACCGAATGATCAATTAAACGACGGGGGTTGAATATTCAAGCAACAGCTGCAACAGCAGTCCTCCTGTTATCTCTCGCGCGCCCGTGAGTATAATAATATTAGCTTCAACGAGAGCACGTGCGTTATCTCTCGGGTCTCTGCGGTTGAAACAGCTCTCGCGCCGATGTAGCTGATCATGGAAAGAAGACCGGGTAGTGCACTCGCTCCGTTAATCGCAGTAGAAAATTCGTAATTAATTACCAAAGGGAATCCGTACGCAGAAAATTGTTTTAAAAAAAAAAGCCAATTTTATCTCTTTCAAAGCAAACGACTAGCTATACGCACTCATCATTGAAAGTCTGGATGTATGGACCAGCCAAGTCGACCGATCAGACTGTATAAATGTAACTACGTTGTTGTTTGTTGCAGGCACGATGCTGACGGACATGGAAAAGTTTCCGTCCATCAAATTGGGCGATTTTACCCTCGAGTTCGAGCTCGGCCCTCCTAGTGCCGAGATCCAAGAGGTCGCGAGGAAGGAGCTCCGCGAGAGCCCCGAACTTCAGAAGCAAGCCGTAGAAGAGCTCAGGAAACTTCTCCGAGGTAGGCTTTCGAGTATCCGATTCCACAAAATTTAACGAAAAAAAAAAAAAAAAAAAAAAATAATAATAACAATGAAAACCTGAAACAGCGGAGAGTAATCTAAAGTGCCCGATCGACAACGACGTGTGGCTGACGAGGTTCCTGCGGCCCTGCAAGTACCACCCGGATTCGGCGCTCAAGCTCGTCAAAAACTATTACCAGTTCAAGGTGAAACACGCCAACGTGTACGACGGCCTCAAGCCCAGCCGCGAGCGCAACATCTTCCAGCACAACATACTCACGGTGCTCCCGAACCGCGACCAGCATGGCCGGCGTATCCTCATTATAGAGCTCGGCAAAAAGTGGAAGCACAGTGAGGTCACCCTCGACGAGGTTTTCAAGGTATCCTTCGACTATTTTAGCGGGTTTTTGCGGGGATCCAAGGATCAAAGTTAATGGTAAATCGGAGGTGGCTTTTTCGGTGCTATACGTGTTTTTTCCATTGTAAAAAAATGTTTGTTGAAACAAATCACGATTCGGTTGATGTGTTTTTTTTTTTATGGGGGATCAAAGAATTTTAAGTCAGGAAGGAATCCCCTTTGTTGTTATTATATTTTGTGAAATGTTTTCAACCGGTATACTTCATATAAGCTAAAACTTTAAATAATTGGTCAGGCCTCTTGGCGTCACCCATACACGCCAAGAGCTAAATAATTCAGTAATCTGCTTTTCAGGGCTGCGTCCTGTACCTAGAGGCGGCGATGCTGGAGCCAACGACGCAGATAGCCGGTGCCATCGTGATTTTCGACATGGACGGCCTCTCCATGCAACAGACCATGCAGTTCACGCCGCCGTTTGCCAAGAGGATAGTCGATTGGCTGCAGGACGCGGTGCCCCTCAGGATCAAGAACATACACATCATCAACCAGCCGTACATCTTCAACATGGTCTTTGCGCTCTTTAAGCCCTTTCTCAGGGAGAAACTCAAGAGTCGGGTTAGTCTTTTTACATGCTCGTGTTGACTTTTTTTTTTTTTTTTGGGCACGTTTTGTTAATCCGTAGGTAGTGATGGTTTTTGTGATTCGCGAGAAAAAAATCCATCAAAATTTAATGGTAAAAATGGCCACTTTAATAAAATCGATTCGCAGTACTTTTAAGGCGTATTATCCACGGTTGGTTAGTGTAAAACTTGTCCCTGCGGTAGTTGATCATAATCACTGTGGGTCTTGTCCTATATACCGATAATTGATGACGAATGAGTCGTCGCTGCTTTGTTTCCATTACTCAGCGCGAGGAGACAGTGGAGATGAAGAAATACGCGCTTTCGGTCGACTTTATTGATTTAGCTCTACGCGCACTGCGATAAATCTTTATCATATATCTTTGACGTACCCTCCTCAGATCATCTTCCACGGCAAGGATCGCAAGTCGCTTCACAAGCACATATCGGCAAAGTGGCTGCCCGAGTGTTACGGCGGAACTTTGACGATCCCGAGGGTAACTGGAAGTCAGTGGCTGGAGCTGCTCTTGCTGTGTGACCACGAATACGAAGGTAACCGATGCACGAGCAACTCCTCCTTGGGTAAAAGAAGTTTTAATAAATGTACTTTTCTTTTTTCTTTTTTTTTTTTTTTTACTTTCCAGCCATCAACTCGTACGGATACAACAAGACATAAATACTACAAAGGAGCATCAGAGGAACATCTCAGCGCCGATGATCCGAGAAAAGTATTCCTGAGCCTTGCGAAGGATTGTTCCTTTTTTTTGTCTCTCTAAAGTTCTACTGGTGCTTAACATATTATTATTAGATCATTGACTGTTGATCGGTCGGTTACTTGAAACACGATAAAAAAAAATAGAAGAGAGCGGTACACCAATTTTGGGCTTTCAAAGTATAGAAAACTGCCATGTTACACTGAGTGAAAAAAAAAAAATAAAAATCTAATCAACTAATACGTGTAGTTACTGCAGTAAAACGTGGAACGGTTCTTGATATTTTTAATATTATTAGTCATTGAAAGCGCACTGTTGTGTGATATTTATTGTTACGCGTACGTTGATTGTTTGTTAAGGTTGTGCGATGTGTTTATACATGTGTACAAATATTATAGATAATGTTTGTATATGCGTTGCAAAAAGTAAGCATGTGAGAAAGAAAAAAGTAAAAATTTTCGATATTTTTGTAAAGTATATTTCCAGTTTCTCTGATTAAGAGTAGATGGCCCAATTATCGAGAGTATCCATGATTGTTACATAACTGATGAATAGAGTGTGATTTATAAATAAATTTTGGTTTTTTACAAGTCAAAGTACTCAACGACTCGGTTTATTTTATGTAATTGTTACTTAGAGCCTTGTTGATAGGGAAAGGACTTGATAATTAGATCATCTACCTTGGTGTCGATGAAAAAAAAAAAAAAAAAAAAAAACTTATCGAACGATGTCTGATGAGGTCTCTCATTGAATTTACTATGTGCGAGTTAGGGGGGCACGTATTTTGTGTAATAGTATAGCTTAAAACGTAGTTATGAAAAACAGACTAGTGCATGTACTGGTGCTGTAGTGTCATTGCATTTGAGGAATATGGGAACAGCCTTTTTCAATGTTAATTACAATGTCATTGTATAGAAATTTTTTGTTTTTAAAGTTACTGTTACTATTGCATGAACAATATTATGCAGTAGAGTTGTACGTTTTTAAAAACTTTTTTTTATTTAGCTAAAAATGGTAAACATTCGAAACCAAAGGGAATCCGTACGCAGAAAATTGTTTTAAAAAAAAAAGCCAATTTTATCTCTTTCAAAGCAAACGATTTTTTTTGTAAATCACAGTTTGACACTGTACACGTATCATTCGGAAAAACCTTTATTAAAACTCGAGTCTACACGAATCAAGTGCCATCCAGTGGGATGTGCCTCAAGTAAGGTATTTGCTTGGAAATCCTTTTTTCCCTTGCAAATGCAAGAANTTATCAATATTATTTGGTGATAAACCTATTAAAATTTTTACTCGCTTTTTACGTATAATTTACAGAAAATTTTACAGTTCCCTGAAAAATGTATTTTAGCTTACATTTTACTTACGTATTTTTTGTATATCCATACTTTCTGATTTCTGAAATAAATCAAATCAATATTCAATTAAAATGTCATACTTTTGTAAAAAAAAAAAAAAAAAAAAAGACTATACTAACCAGCAAAGTAATCGTCAAATGAACTGGAGAACTTGTAAAGTTTCTCGCCAACGTTCGTAGTCTCAGAATCATATTCACCACCATATTTCTTTGGTAAACATTTCGCATCAAAATAAGCCAGTATCGACGATCGGTCATTGCCGTGAAAGTATATTCTATCACGAAGTTTCCCCTGAGTAAATTATAGAAATAATTTTAATTAATTCTACCCATTTCTTGTAATGCTAGACAATTTTAAAAATAAATAAAAGTTGAGGTTTACCTTCAGAAATGGCTTAAAAAACGCAAACACCATGTCGAACACGAACGACTGATTAATAATGTGAACGCCCTTTAGTCGACAGGGCAAGCTCCGCTGGACGAAATCGACGATTGCAGAAGCGAATTTTGGCGAGAAATAAGTGACTTGGCTCAAGCTCAAGCCTTTCATGTCGATGATCACTCGAACCCCAGAAACCTACGAAATTGAGCGTGCGACATTTTTGAGAAAACTGATTTTTGACGAAAATAATTTTTTAAATTATTTTCAAGCTAAATTTTAAGGATTAGACAATTTGATGAAAAATAAAATATATCTATTCGTCAAGCCAGTAATTTTTGCTATGAATTTTATAATAAATTTTAAATCGAAAACCTACTAAGATATAATAATATCTTGAAACATTAAAAAAAGCATTTAAAATTAAAAAAAAAAATTTTATAATTCATCATGCAAAAATGCTTCAAGACATACATAAAATTTTTATTTAACTATTTATATTTTAATTGT